GGCTCCTGAGTTGGCCACGCCCAGCAGGAAATTAGCATAATAGGCCACACCCAAGAGCAGAAACTCATTAGGATTGGCTACATTAGGGGTGTGTGGCCTAACATGCAAAGGAGTTCCTGCTACAAAAAAAGGCCCTGGGTTTTGACAACAAACAAGGTAAACAGAATAAGAAGGGAAAGGTGGGTGTGGCTGGATGACCACACTTCTGGTAACATGGGGGTGCGGCCTAATGTGCTAATTCACGGTGCTGTCAGGGTGTGGCCTAATATGCTAATGAGTTTCTGCTGTTGGGTGTGGCCTATTATGCTAATGAGTTCCTGCTGGGCTTTTTGAGCATGGCATGGCAGTAACCAGTGTGTCCCTCTAAGCTGAATTCGTCTGAGCTAGCTCATAGTTTTTTAGCCTCCGGCTCACACATTTTTGTCTTAGCTCAGGAAGGAGGGCTCCAGAGCCAACTCATTTATGCAGCAGCCAAATCGCTCACTCACAACTTTAACGCCTGTAGCTCACAAAGCAGAATTTTTGCTCACAAGACTCCACAGCTTAGAGGGAACATTGGCAGTAACGCACAGACATATAATGGCAGGGCCCCCCTGAGCAAAACATTGCCCCCCCTGCAAAAAGTTGTTAGCTGCGGGGCTGCTTCACATGATCTGGACACTATGCTTCTGTTAATACAGCCCAAAATCGCATTTGCCTGTTCAGTGTGTGGTCGACTAAGACCCCTAGATCCTTTTCACACATACTACTGCCAAGACAAGTCTCCCCCATCCTATAATGATGCATTTTGATTTTTCCTACCCGAATCCAGAACTTTACACTTATCCCCAATGAAATTCATTTTATTTGTTTTAGCCCAGTTGTCCAGCCTATCAAGATCATCTTCTATCATGAAAGAAGAAGAAGACCACCTGAGCTCACTGTCCCACAACGACCCACCCTGGTCTCAATACCACCCCAGGAGGATTACACAAACCTTGAGGGGAAAGATGGGGAGCCTGTGATAGACTGCAGAATCTCCCTCAACCCCACCACTTCCCTCCTACACACGTTGCTTTCTAAAATGATTATCGGTGTGGGGTGTGTGTGTGTCACAAGCAGCTGAAAAAGAGCACTCGACTGTCACTCCCAGTGGCCTTTGTGATCCTCCCACCCCCTCAGGCCTCCTGCCAGGGAAGAAGGATGGCTGGCTGGTCACACAGCCTCATGGAGGAGAGCCTCTTTCCTCAAAGGAAAGGCCGCCCAGGCCTCCTCTGAGGGAACGGCTTTTAACAACTAATGGGGAACTGAGTCTGATTGGCCATTTAGAGCACAGCCCCCACCGCAAGAGGCCTGAGGGGTCTTAAAATTTGACACACTTCTTGGGGTGAGAAGCTTTTGTGGGCCAGAACTTGATTACTCAGATCACTCTGTGCCAATGTTCCCTTTAAGTTGTGGAGTCTTGTGAGCCAAAAAATTCTGCTTTGTGAGCTGCTGGCATTAAAGTTGTGAGCAGGCAATCTGGCTGCTGCATAAGTCAGTTTGCCTTGGAGTCATCCTTCCTGAGCTATGACAAAAATGTGTGAGCTGGAGGCCAAGAAACTGTAAGCTAGCTCACACTAACTCAGCTTAGAGGGAACATTGCGTTCTGTGCCCCCTAGAAAAAGACAACTCTCTGGTCTGTGAGGGCTGTTCCCTGTCGCAGCTTAGGCTATTTCTTCCCACTCTTTTGTGTGGCCTGTGCTGTTTCCATCTTCAGTAGCCAGAATACGCAGAGGGCAGGGGAGATGGGCTGACCATCAGCCCACAGGTATGGCCACAAATCACCCCTTGTTAGGGTTGTTCCTGCCCCAAGTTGGATGGCCCGCCCCGCCTAGCCTGATGTCATCTGATCTTGGAAGCTGAACAGGATGAGCCCTGGTTAGTGCTTAGACTGCATACTCGGGAACCCAGGCAGGGATTTCCCTCTTTCTCCTGTCTCTGGAGCTGCAGGTGGGGAGTCTATGGCCGGGGATGGAGCAAGCCCTTGAAGAGGGGGGGGGGGTTTCAAACCAATGTTCTCTGTAAGCTGTGGAGCCTTGTGAACAGAAATTCTACTTTGTGAGCTACTGGCATTACAGTTGTGAGCAAGCAATTTGGCTGCTGAGTATATTAGTTTGCTCTAGAGCCATCCTTCCTGAGTTCAGACAAAAATGTGTGAGCCAGAGGCTAAAAAACTGTGAGCTAGCTCACTCTAACTCAGCTTAGAGGGAACACTGGTTCAAACCCAGCCTCCTTTCCCGGAATCCGGGGTCTGTCCCTTTCCTCCTAGAAATATTGCTCAAAACTCCCAGAGGGGTTTTCTCTCCAGGGGGCCACAGAAAGAAATTAATCGACACGCTTCTGTTTCAAAAGTAGGCTCATCTAACAACTCTCCCCTGATGGCATTTTACTGCCCTGATCACACTGGGCCGGGGAAAGATGAAGAAGGTAGCTGGGATGGGAATAAGGAGTTGGGACCCAGCGCCAGCCTCCTTTTTCTGAGATGGCTGAACTGCATTGGGAGACTTTGGATGTTCAACCCCGTGCAGAGTTTCTCAAGAGCAGCACAGGGTGTCGCGAACATAAGAACATAAGAGAAGCCAGTGTTGGATCAGGCCAATGGCCCATCCATTATACCCTATGGTCAGGTGTGCTCTGCTGTCCATTATTCCCTATGGGCAATCATGGATTCTCTGTTGGCAATTATGTACTGCACTGTCCCCTCTGGGCAAGCGTCCTCTCCATTACTCCCTATGGCAATCATGGATTATCTGTTGGCAATTATGTACTCCATTATCCCCTATGTGCAACAGTCCTCTTCATTATGCCCTATGGGCAATTATGGATTCTCTATTGGAAATTATATACTCCATTGTCCCCTATGGGCAAGCATCCTCTCCATTATTCCCTATGGGCAATCATGGATTTTCTATTGGCAATTATGTACTCCCTTATCCCCTATGGGCAATCATGGATTCTCTATTGGCAGTTATGTACTCCATTATCCCCAATGGGCAAGCGTCCTCTCCATTATTCCCTATAGGCCATCATGGATTCTCTATTGGAAATTATGGATTCTCTATTGGCAATTATGTACTCCATTATCCCCTATGTGCAACAGTCCTCTTCATTATGCCCTATGGGCAATTATGGATTCTCTATTGGAAATTATATACTCCATTGTCCCCTATGGGCAAGCATCCTCTCCATTATTCCCTATGGGCAATCATGGATTTTCTATTGGCAATTATGTACTCCCTTATCCCCTATGGGCAATCATGGATTCTCTATTGGCAGTTATGTACTCCATTATCCCCAATGGGCAAGCGTCCTCTCCATTATTCCCTATGGGCAATCATGGATTTTCTATTGGCAATTATGTACTCCCTTATCCCCTATGGGCAATCATGGATTCTCTATTGGCAGTTATGTACTCCATTATCCCCTATGGGCAATCATGGATTCTCTATTGGCAGTTATGTACTCCATTATCCCCTATGGGCAATCATGGATTTTCTATTGGCAATTATGTACTCCCTTATCCCCTATGGGCAATCATGGATTCTCTATTGGCAGTTATGTACTCCATTATCCCCTATGGGCAATCATGGATTCTCTATTGGCAGTTATGTACTCCATTATCCCCTATGGGCAATCATGGATTTTCTATTGGCAATTATGTACTCCCTTATCCCCTATGGGCAATCATGGATTCTCTATTGGCAGTTATGTACTCCATTATCCCCTATGGGCAATCATGGATTCTCTATTGGCAGTTATGTACTCCATTATCCCCTATGGGCAATCATGGATTTTCTATTGGCAATTATGTACTCCCTTATCCCCTATGGGCAATCATGGATTCTCTATTGGCAGTTATGTACTCCATTATCCCCTATGGGCAATCATGGATTCTCTATTGGCAGTTATGTACTCCATTATCCCCTATGGGCAATCATGGATTCTCTATTGGCAGTTATGTACTCCATTATCCCCTATGGGCAATCATGGATTCTCTATTGGCAGTTATGTACTCCATTATCCCCTATGGGCAATCATGGATTTTCTATTGGCAATTATGTACTCCCTTATCCCCTATGGGCAATCATGGATTCTCTATTGGCAGTTATGTACTCCATTATCCCCTATGGGCAATCATGGATTCTCTATTGGCAGTTATGTACTCCATTATCCCCTATGGGCAATCATGGATTTTCTGTTGGCAGTTATGTACTGCACTGTCCCCTCTGGGCAAGCCTACTCTCCATTACTCCCTATGGGCAATCAGACAGACAGACAGACAGACAGACAGACAGACTGACTGACAGACAGACAGACAGACAGACAGACTGACTGACAGATAGGGAGAAATGTAGGGAGAGCGAGGGGGGGTAGTGGGGAAAATGTGGGGGAGGTGGATGGTCCAGTGCGTTCACTCCTGACCCGCTCCCCCCAAAAGTCTGTGATGTGGGGGGTAGGGCACCATTGTACCTGTCAAGAGGCCAGGTCTACCAATGTAGTGGATTGGGGTAGGTAGATCTGTTCTCCAGAGGCTTCTGGAGAACAGGTCTACCCACCCCATTCCACTGTGTTGGTAGACCTGGTCTCTGGAGGTCTACCCACCGCATCCCACTATATTAGTGGATTGGGCGCGGGTGAGGGGGGAAGCGGGGGGAAGGACCCAGCGAGTGGAGCCTCTTGTGGGTGCAGGGGTGTGTGTGGAAAGGAGCCGGCGAGCGGAGCCTAAAGGCTCCACTCACCGGGCCTCTTGTGGGTGCAGAGGGTGGGATGGAGCCAGCAAGCGGAGGCTAAAGGCTCCGCTCACCGGCCCTCTTGTGGGTGCGGGGGCGGGGGGAAGGAGCTGGGACTCTGTGGGGGGCGAGGTGAAGTGGCCGCCGTTGTCTGGGGCTGACTGGGCGCGGGGGGAAGGCCGGTTTGTTCACCCCTTCCGAAGTGGCGACTGTAGGGCCCTCATAGTCCTTGTCGTCCTGGGCCGACAGTTAAAATGGCGTTGGTTGACTCGCGGGTGCGGCAGTGGTGGTGTGGGCGGGACCCGGGCTTCTATTGGTCGGCAGATATGGTAAGTGACAGTTACACCGGCCTAACAATAAAGGGGCCAAATTTAGAATTTTGGTGCCCACTACTCAATTATGATAAGGGAGAGATGGGCAATCATGGATTCTCTATTGCAAATTATGGATTCTCTATTGGCAGTTATGTACTTCATTATCCCCTATGTGCAAGAGTCCTCTTCATAATGCCCTATGGGCAATTATGGATTCTCTATTGGTGTAATGGATTCTCTATTGGCAATTATATACTCCATTATCCCCTATGGGCAAGCATCCTCTCCATTATTCCCTATGGGCAATCATGGATTCTCTGTTGGCAATTATGTACTCCATTATCTCCTATGGGCAATCATGGATTCTCTATTGACAGGTATGTGCTCCATTATCCCCTATAGGCAATCATGGATTCTCTATTGGCATTTATGTACTCCATTATCCCCTATGGGCAAGCGTCCTCTCCATTATTCCCTGTGCGCAATCATGCATTCTCTATTGGCACTCATGTATTCCCTATGGGCAATCGCTGTCCTTAGTTTTAGTATGTCCCACCATCGGGAGGTCCAGCAGTGGGGCCAGGACACTAGAAGCCCTCCCACTGCTGCCCCCCCTCCAAGCACCAAGAGTACAGAGCATCCCTTACCTTGTGGCTCATAGCCACTGATGGACCTCTGCTCTGTCATGTTTATAAAATTCCCTCTTGAAGCTGAAACCGGCTGAAACTCCTCATGGAGAACAAACTTTGAGTCCAGTGGCACCTTTAAGACCGACGCGAGTTTACCCAAAGTAGGAGCTTTGGTGTGCAAGGCACACTTCCTGGCATCCGGGAAAGCGCAGACCTCGAATAAACCCTTCTCTGGTCTGAAAGTCGCCGCCGGACTCTGAATTTGTTCCGCCGCTTCAGACCGGGAGGAGGCAGGAGGCGTTTTTCATGTCTCTGCAGCGCTGGGAGGGTTAAGCCCGCGGAGGCTTTTGCCAGAGAGGCCGCGCAAGGAGGGGGGCGGAAAGGAGGAGAGGCGCCTTTCCGGGGGGAGAGGAGAGGAGAGGAGGGGGTTTGCCTTTGCACAGCTGGGAAGGAGGCCCGGGAAGGTTGCAGCAGAGAAGCCGCGCAGCAGCCGGACCCCGGGAAGGGCCCCTTCGAAGTAAGGCGTCGGGCGCGGAGAAGCGCTGAGCTCTGGGGAGGGAGGCGGGGATCCGTCTCACCCAGGGTTGCCAACTCCCGGGAAATTGCTGGACATTGAGTGTGGGGGGGGGGATTCTGTGCAATGCCCGGTTGGGGGCCGGGGAGGGACCTCAGATGGGAACCGGGGCCGTAGAGTCCCCCCCCCCCCACCAGGCCCGCCCCT